CATGCTTTCTCGATACTCATGTGCCACGGTGTCCCAGGTCGACACACTCATCGCAATGCAAGCTGAAGACGAAACATGCAAGGCCATCCGTGCAAAACTTCTGTCAAAACAGGACACCCAGAACTTTGTTGTGGTCGACAAGACCCTGTGCAGAGTTGTGAATCCAGAACTGTGCACAATTGTTGTCCCGGCCAAGATGCAACAGCAGGTCCTTGAACTTGCTCATGACGCCAATGGACACATGGATGTGTCACGCACCCTCACAAAGGTCAAAGACCGTTATTGGTGGCCGAAGATGACTGCTACTACGAAAGAGTATGTCTCAGGCTGTCAAGTTTGCCAAGCTCACAACCGACCCACCACGCGATCAGTTGGCACAATGTGTTTCATGCCCACTACAGAGATCCCCTTCAGTGCAATAGCCCTTGATCATATCACAGTGCCAGGAACAGAAGATAAGTGCATACTCAACGTCATCCACTTCGCAACCAGATACATTGTCCCAGCAGCAGTGCCTACAACTTCAACAAAAGATGTGCTGAAACATTTGCATTCGCTGTTCTACAGATTCGGAGCCTGTGATGACTGTCTCTCCGACCATGCCAAGTCATTCGAGTTCCACCAGTTCAGGAGCTTCATGCGCATGCATGGTGTGAACATGCACTTCTCAGTAGCATACCGTGCTGCCAGCAACGGACTTGTGGAACGTGCCCACGGGACGCTTGTGACAGTACTTCGGAAACTGTGTGACGGTGGTCAGTCACTCCGGGTCGCTAAACTGGAAGAGGCCGCCTTTGCTGTGAACACAACCCGCCACCGAGGCACCAGATTTTCACCCTTCAAACTTTTGTTCGGGTTCATACCAAAGCTGCCACACCAGAAAGTCCGCCCACATCAAACCTCTGACCTCAGCGAAAGACTTCTAGCACTACCAGACCTGCGAAGCGAAGCAGTCAGTAACTCTGAACAAGCTCAGGAAACACGGAAGACGATATATGACAGGACCCACCGCGATGCATCTTATGACATCGGTGACTTTGTATGGATACGACGACAAGAGCCTATCCTTCAGGGATCGGAGAAACGTGCTCCCAAATTTAAAGGATTATATCAAGTCACACGCAAGGGAACTCCAGTTACGTATGACGTGCGACGTGTGACAAACTCGACGACGACTACAGCAGAGTCCCGATGCGCCCACGTAAGCCAGATGAAAAAATACCGGCCCCCATATTTCGATCCAATTCTGGTTGAGTCGACCACTGAAGATCAAGCCCCCGCACACAACTCCGTGGGACTTGAAGCTGAACCTGACTTGGTGCCTTTGCCGCAGTGAGGACCCAGGCCACTCTCCAAACCAAAGACCGCAGCGTCATCGGGCAACACCAAAGCGACTACAGGACTATGACCTGTCGCTGCAAGATTAGGTTGTTCTTTTGTTCCAAGAGGACTTGAACTTGCAAATGGGGTGGGATGTGAGCTGTGGTGACCTCCAGACAGCGGACACTGAGACCAGGTCTAACAACCTTGGGCAGCCGGGCGCGAGGAGCGTGAAGAGCCGCCATGAGCCTCGTGTGTTGACGAACTTGTAACCCAGCCCCTTTTCTACCAAATTAAAGCCTTTTTACCCCTTTACGCCCGCTCCACCGCTCACAGAACTGAACATATCGCTCACATGCGGTTTATGCTCGCTCCGTGTGGGCGTTCCTTATTTGAGTGCGTTAGCACTAAGCGGGGCCATTTGCCAAAATGGTGTGGGTCCGTCTAGGCCTCTAGGTGAAGCGCCTAACGGTTAATTCTGGCTCAAACATGTAATTCCATAGAATGATGGGGTCCGGGTGATCCAAGCTACGGTGGCTTGAAGGGGGAGGTGTCAGAATCGCGGTGTGACGGAGAGAGCAGCCCGTCAGGATGCAGCGGTGGCGCTGCTGTCGCCACTGAGGTGCCCGTCCGCTGGCGCGTCCGCTCCGATGCGTGCGCTTTGGTACTTGCTCCGCGCGTTCGTGCGGCGCTTGAAATGAATGCCTTTAAGCTAATTTCCACCTAGCTCCACTGACTTCGAACGTGTGGCTACAGCAACCCCCTAATAAACCTGCAAATCATTTTATAATGATTTAGGTGCGCGTGGGCGCCCAAGGCTCTCGATACGCTGAAGCGTTATCAACAAGAGAAACTACTGTAAAACATTTTTTTTTTCGTAAAGCCCTAATTTTTTGCGAACTTCACAAATTAAGAAAATTGCGAAATTTAGGGGCACGCGAAAATACCGGCCTCTAGAAGCCCTGAATTGCGTCCTCCAGAATTCGTGTAATTAACTGGTCACGAATATGTCTCTCTGCACGATTCTCGAGAACATGGTGCCGCGAAATGTCTTACACTATTTAGTTCGGCTAGTTGGTTCATGATCATCAAATGAAATGTGCCCGCGCAGGATGCAACGAGCACGACAACTTACGCATTTTATGTTTCATTTATTTCTGGGCTCTAGTGAACGTGTATAGGTCCGCTAGTAGCGTTGGGATGGGCATGGTTCGTTGAGATCGTCAACATTCGCACTTGAAAGGGGGGAGGGGAGGGGAAGAACACTCGATTAATCAATGAAGTTTCACGCCTGCTAGATATGGGCCACAAGGGCCCAATCTGACACCTTTTAACAAATAGAAAAACCACCTTCAATTGAATATTCAAACCTGTATTCTCACTTATTTACAAAACAACCGATATTTAAAAAAAATGTACAGAAACTAGTTTGGACGGTAACCAGAAACGGAAATCACGTTGTATGCCGCAACTTGAGGTACTTCATCTTGTCCCTCTTGCCTTGCCTGGACGCATTCTGAGCTGCAACAAGGAAATGCATCCTAGTCAGCACGAAGAAACGTATAACTTGATTTGTCTCTTCGACAGTGTGCTCCGCGCAGCCAACCAAGTTCAGTCTGTTTTTGGAGAGGCAGGAGATGAGGTCCCTTACGCTGTTCGCCCTCAACTTATTGAAGGTTAAACAGTACGTGAATCCATCTTCCATTGTTTCACCTAGGTCCTTGAGTGCCTGGTATGGGTAAAGAAGGCGTCCCCTGTTCATGTACTTTGTCAGGCACGACTCTCCTGGGTACGAGGGCGAATCCTTGGGCTGAAGAAGCAACCTCGAACACTCTTCGCACTTGGTTTTCTTCAGCATTTTGCGGGCGACATTGCCACTAGCATTGTAGGTTATCCAAGAGTCGCTTTTCGAAGCAACCATGTCACCGTGCCCTGGCAATGCACTGCATGCTTTTATCATTTCATGAGCCTCGTTCAAGTAGCCCACATCCAAGAGATCGTCCAGCTTGTTTTGCAGTTCCGCCAAGTCAGAGTTGCTGCGAGGATCAAGAAGGCTGTTTAAGAGTCCTTGTGAAATGTTGCCACTTGTAGGTGACCGGGCTAAGCTGTAAAAGCTCAGGCAGTTCACTGAAATCAAGAACTGCGTCGGCGTGGGATGGTCGTTGCAGCCTGACATCTGTCTTAAGATGCCAAACAAATTCTCGATAGAGTCCTGACTGAGACGTGCGATCATCAAATACTTGAATCCCAATGTCTTTGTCATGTATGTCAGGAGCGAGAGTGTGCTTGCAAGAGTCACCCGAAAGCCTTCAGCTGTAGCTTGGCTCAAAAACCCCAGCTTTCCAACAGTGGCTTCCCAGATGTCAAGGTATTGTTGAAACCTCTTGATGTGCTTGACTTGTTCCGTCTCTGGTCTCAAACCAGTTCGGCGGTGCCCTGAAGTCATGGAAGCGATGAGGTTCCTCAGCATAGCGACAAACAATGAAGTGGCCACTGCGCTCCCAGATCCATAACGGCTCTCCTCTTCGTGTCTGTATACATAAAGGCCCCTCAGTACCTCGTCACAGAAGAATCTAAATGCGAGATTCACTCGCATCTTCTCGAATCCATTCGGCTGAAAAACAGCCATTGTTACGTGCGGCATTGCTTTGAGAGGCACAGTACTTGCACTGTCGCATTTCCATGCTTCGTTTACGAACTCGCTGCTTACTCGTCCATCTGGAGTCTGGAGCCCTGTTGAAGATACAGAGTTCCGCGCACATTTTACAAGGTGCGGGAAGTCCGAAATGAAGTGTAGATACCGGCTCGGGTCCACTGGATGTTGAACTTCACAGACTGTCTTCGTGAGCTTCCCAGTGATACCAAACATTTTCCACATACTCCTGTTCCAGGAGGCGCCATTGCATGTGATGAAATCAACAAAAAGTCCAGACTTCTCCACAGAAATCACAGCATCCACAAAGATTCTGGACAGCACATCTGCCTTCACATTACCTCGTGCACCAAAGACGCCAAGAATCTGCTGCCATTTGCCTGTGAAAGGTTGAAACAGAACCACAAGCCCGTGGTCGCATGTAACACTTTCCTGACCCGCAGAGCTGTAGCTGCCGAGGTCAACAAATCCATCGATGAGTCCTTTTTTGTTGACCATTAGGCTTTCTGAAAGCTTCATTTCATCAACGAGAATCTCTCCGTGTCGCCGGTATAGATCGATGTCCTTTGACATCTCGGCTATTGCTGCAAACACCTTCTCATTGAATCCAAAGCTGGTTTTGTAGGTTTTTCCATATGTCCGTAGGCACGAAGGGCTAAGGACTACCATGAACTTGTCTGTTCGAATATGCTCGTACAGTCGAGGGCTTTTCATGTGCATGACAATGCACTCGAGTATTCATTCCTGATCAAACTTCATACCGTTGGTCCCCTTCCTCGTTGAAGCTTCAAAGCATGCCCGTATTTGCAGCTGCTGCTGCAAGTACGGGCATGCTATCCCGGCACGGCATGGCGGGTACGGGCAAATACGGGCATTTTTGGACAGGCCTTCCATCTTCCGCTGAAAACTAGCGGTACTGGTGGACTCGTTCTCCGTCCTCATCGTTTCAATGTCTTTCTTCAGGTTTGCGATGTTGCGCTTCTGACGACGAAGTTGCACATTTTTTCTAATCACCTTTCGTGGTGCCTCAACACGGGTCTGTTTTGCTCTTGTGCGCTTGTAAGAAGCCTGGTTCAAGAGCAACCTTTTAATGCCTGCAATACAATATTTGCATTGCAGGCATCGCTTTTCATTTTGCGAAACTCCACCACATTTCACACTGCGAAACTTGCCAGCATATGTCTTGTGCTTTGTTTTTGTTTGCATCATGTCAATGCTCGTCCCCATCTCAAACCCTTCACAAGGAACAAGGGTATCCATCTCTGAAAGCAGGTCCTTCACAGCATCAGCGCTGTCGACATCCACAGTTGTCACCACTGATCCCTGTACGTGTGCGGTGCAGTGGATACTTGTCTCGCTAGTAGAGCACAAAAGCAGCTTCTGAAAGCAGAGAGTTTCACCATTTGGTGCACGCACTGGAAACGCTACGACGTTCGGTGCTTTCGGTATCGCGTGCTTTGCCCAGTATTTGCTTGGAAGATATTCTTCTTTCATGCTCTCCAACTTTTTTTTTGTGCTGGGCTGCGTCATTGGTGTGATGTTGGCTACAACGATGCGCTCGTGTTCACGAATGACGTCGTCCCTCTTTTGCTTTCGAGGCACGCCGCCGTTGGACGTCACCGACTTCCTCTTTGACGGCAGTTTCTTCGACAGGTACGCGGGAATGTTCGAAAACAATGCTGGGATTGCATCGGCTGTCAGGCAAGGGCGATCACAGGGAATTTCCACCGTCTCGCCGTTAATGACGTGCGTGTAGTTGCGAACTATGAATCTCTCGTCAAAATGAGCTTCACAGACTACGGAGCTTTTCTCGAGAGGCTTGTCAGCTCGCGGGATTGAGTGCTGCCAAGCCCGACGGCGTTCATCGTCGTGGGGAACGGCGAAGAGGGAGGCTTTCTGCGCTTTATTTTTGGCGGAAACGTACCCTGTGGTGCATCCGGAAGCAAAGCAGTGTGTTAGACGTTGTGCCATCGCTGTGGTCTGGACGCAAGGGGCGACGATTCTGAAGCCCCCCCGATAAAACGAGCACTGGGAGCAAAGTGCGGAGCGAACAAACCGAACAAGCCTTCGCCGACAGTGCCTTCTCCGGTTCGCGCGGGCGCCTCAGAGTCGACACGCGCCCCACCTCTCGTCGTCGTGAAATACTAGCGCGCCTCCTTTAACGGCGCGGTTTAGGCGATTCTGACGCCTCCCCCTTCTAGCCACCGTATCCAAGGGTCTCGCGCAGGCAAGGAATCATGGAATACAGAGTTAGAGTTTCTGGGGAAGGGTTAGAAGGCGAGGGGAGAGGATAGCGCACGCGCAGTGCAAGGGCGGAACGAGTCCTCATGCCTCTTAAACAGATTTGGGAGAAGATCCTCCAAATTTTGTTTAAAGCGTAAACCCAACTTTTTGGCCCGCATAAAAAAAACTATTGATCACCGAATGCCGAAACTCTGCTAGAATGTAACCCTAGTGGTCCGAGAAAGATACCGAAGTTTCAGAACGTAGCGTCGATGAATTCAAGCCATTTATTTATTTGCGACGCCTACCAAAAGCCTAGGATGGTGGAGCATCAAGCCAGAAAAAGTAAATCTAAAACACAACCTGATTACAATATACTATATGCCACAAGGTCAGTACTTCTTTTGAACAGTTATAAGCAATTTCCTGAACACCTGAATGAGGAAATGGGGTCGTGTCCCAGTAGCGTTTCCTATTCATCTCCATGTACTCCTCAGCTCCGTCTGCCGCCATTTTCTCGTTAAAAATGTTCTATAGTGACTCATAAATTTTAATTCAATGATGCTACGTTCCCAAACCCTGGCATCTTGCTTCGACCGCTAGGTTACATTCTCGCAGTTTCAGCATTGGACGATCCATACTTTTTTTGTGCAAGCCTAAATGTAGGGCCTTCTTTTCTCGATTCGACCCTGTAGAGTGCCTCCACGTTGCTGGCTGCACCTCTCCCAGAGTTGAGCCATCTCTGTCGTGTGCTAGCTGCGCTGGCGTCTTTACGAGCAATTGACAAAGCTATTGGCTGTGATATTTGTGAAGAGGGTGGCACAAGTATCACAATGTTAAGAAAGTGTAACACTAGCTTCCCATCATTAACAATTTAAGATCACATCTTTGACTGCATATGGCATAGACTTGTTGGTGACAACCCTGTTGACGGTTGCTCGCATATGATTGTTATCGAGGATTGCTTGTATGAAGATACATGCTCTTATAGTTCTACCACGTAGTCCTGTTTGTACTTTCCTTTCAAGCGATAATCCCCAATATTTTAATCAACCGCTGCTTTATAGCCTCATACGCACTGTTTTGCATACACCTAATACGCTGAGCGGGAGAGGATATGGCGGCTCCGCGTGAGCAGACGACAGGAGATGGTGGCATTTGCCCCGCCAAACGATGTTGCCGCTCTTGCAGGCAAAGCTAACAATATTGAGGTACTCTAGATTGAAAGACTTTTTTGCGACCTAAAACAGAACTTTTCATTGAATGACGCTTTAGCCAACGGCGGCATTCAAATTAGTGAACAGATCTATGCTTTGGTAGCCTACCTTGCCGAACTCTTGGCAGTGAACCGTAGGGCTCTGTATGGAAGCCTGGTTGCTGCCGGCTGCAAACGGCATTTTCTCTAAAACGTCGTTTGCGAAAATGATACTTAATCGTTAAAGTGCAATTCGCACATATAACATGGACCCGTTTTGCTGCTGAATGTCCACTCATTGTTAAACTGTCATTTATTTCATATTTTTTCAGCGGAGTTCGGAGATAGAGGTCCAATAAGACGCTGCCGAGAACAATGCTAGCCCAGAGCATGATCCAAGTCTGAAAATGGAAAGTACTACCTCTGACAGTCAGCTCCCTGGGCATCTGGAAGACATAAGCTTGTCAGCTGAACAGGGTGCTCAGGACGAATGTGATCTTGGCAGGTGTCCGGACATTTCTGACCCCGATGGAGATCTTTCAGAATTCATTAAGGTGAACTCTGAAACAACACTGCCTCACCAATCTACCACTGTGCTCCAAGCCGTGCTACTCTTCCTGACATTTGTTGCAGCTGCTGGCTTCCTATGGACTCAGGTTGATGGTTCGTTAAAGCTCATGAATGCAGTGTTGGGCCAAGAGGTGTTTCCTGCAACAAAGACTGGTTTCAGAAAGCTCCGGGAGCTTCAGCAGTCAAAGAGAGTGGAAGTCCATACTTTCTGCCCAACATGTCGTTTCTTGACAACAAGCTGTGGAATTGAACATCAGCGCTGTGGCATCTGCGACAAAGTACTGACTTTGGCGCAGCTATCGAAGAAAGGAAGCTTTAGTAAAACGACGGACCTGAAACAGCAACTCCTGCACTTGCTGAAACACGCTGGGGAGCTGGTGGTCAAGAACCTAAAAGAGCTTGCTTTTTCGACTCATCAAGGATTATACCGGGATATCACAGATTTTGCGCTCTAAGCAAATGCCGCAGTGAAAATAAGATGACATGGAGTGACTTGACTGTAACTGTAAACAGTGACGGATCACCAGTTTTCAGGTCAAGTAAAGGGTCCTTGTGGCCAATACAAGTTTCATTGAATGAGTTACCTATCCCACATCGTTGGAAGAACATACTATTGGCCGCTGTTTGGTTCGCCAAAGAACATCCACGTGCTCACTTACACTTGAAGACCTTCGTGGAAAAGTTCAATGCAATCGGCACGCCGACATGTACTTTGCTGGACAAATTGTGCAGTCCACGGTCAGTGTCCAGTGCTGCTGCGTTGACTCACCGGCATGGGCTGGTTTGCTTAATGCAAAACAGTACAACGGCTACTATGGGTGTTCTTGGTGTTTTCAGAAAGGGAAACTTGTTGACGGTGAGACTTTTTACAGCTGTACTACAAAGTGTTAGCTTGTTCATTTTTACATGAAACATAAGACTAAAGCAACTGTTTGCTCTTAATTTTGTCCTGAATGAAGGCAACTTTATGGCATTTAATTTAACTGCCTGTCAAAGAAACATAGCTCACATAGAACCTTGTCAGGCTGTAACCGCAGCTTTTTGCCCAGGTTGTCACCTTTTATAGTAAAGTCAAAAGAGGAAAAACTTATTTTCATGCTCCTGCTTTTCAGGGACAATGAAATACACTTTCGAAGGCCCAGACGTGGTAGAGAGATCCCACAGCACGGTGATTAGTGCAGTGACTATTGCAGCTGCAAGGGGACGTCCTGTTGACGGCATAAAGGGACCATCAGCCTGTGCTAAGCTGCGCTCACTGTACTTGGTGGGGTTTCCTCCCAGATTATTTGCGTTGTGTTCTGGAAGGCGTATTTGCTCAACTGATGGATCTTTGGCTGTGTTCAACTGGACAGCGGTGGTATATTGAAAACAGGCTCAAGGAGCTCGATGAGCAAATCGTAAAGATCCGCCCTCCAATCTCTTTCACATGGCTTCCCAGACCACTTTCAGAACGATCATTTTGGAAAGCCACTGAATGTAAATATTGGCTTCTGTATTATGGAGTGCCGACCCTCCAAAATCTTCTTCCAGAAACATACCTAACACATTTTTCTCTTTCTCAAAGTGTGTTTATGCTGTTGAAGACGACTATTCAAGAGTGCGAGATTATTCTCGCTGAAAGATTACCCAATCAGTTTGTAGAAGTTACTAACTGTAGGGTTAAAATCACCTTACATTTAACGTTCACCAGCTTGTCCACCTCGCTAGATCAGTGCGAATGACCGGGCCGCTGTGGGTCACCTCTGCATTTTCCTTTGAAGCGGGCAATGGTGAAATTTTAAAGCTTGTTTCTGCAGCCAAGGGTGTTCCTCAGCAAATACCTGAACGCTACATCATGCGAGAGGTACTAAAGTCGCTAACATGGATAGTGAAACTTCCACTTTTCTTGAAACGCCAGCAAGAATTAATTTCGGGTAAACGAGGGGAGCAGAACCAATCACGTGTGTTGGGTGCTCCTTTGCCACGCCCTGTGTTGGAAAATTGCATAAAGGTGCTAATAGAAGACACCATAGGTCATGTAGCATCAGTTAGTGAGTACCTGAGGGCCCGACTTAATGGAAATATTGTGCACAGTGCCCAGTATCGAAGGCCAGACAAGACTTGCTATGAGTACCTAGAAGCCAGCGACGGCAAGCTTTGTGGAGTACTCAGAATATTTGCAGTGGAGGCTGGTGTCCTGTTGCTCTGCCAGGAATTGATTTGTGGAGATTTAATGCTTTTTTGTGTGAAATTGAGCATCCCCAAACCAATGTTGGTCTGCGGTTGCTTCGTGAAGAAGACATTGCTTCACTGTGTGTGTTTGTAGACGAACCGATAGGTTATTTCTTGCAAAAATTCAAAATCTTTATGAAAAAGATTAACGAGGTTTGCCCAGCACTTTTTATGGTTAAGCTAGTTACAAAAGAATATACATTCAATGAATATGTTGCTGATAATGCTCAAGATTAAACAAAAACTTGGTTCACATCCTGTAACTTTCACTGTAAAATACCAAAAATACACCCACCCAAACTTTGGAGGTAATAATGAACTGCTGGAAGATGGCTGTTGTGGAAAGGTTGCAGGCAATTTTTCAATTTATTTCAAAAGCATTGGCTGGGTTCCTATTTTTCACATGTTTGAAAGTACATGGGCATGTGACTGTTATTTTACGGTAGGAAAACGATGAATTGTGCACTGGAATGTTGGCACAAACAGATTCAGGCATTGCTTATGGAAACTATGGCTTGGTTATAACAATCAGTTGAAATATGCTTTGAGGCTAATTTCACACAAAAATTTGCGTGAAAACCTATGCAATCTTTTAATTTTTTTATTTTTAATTCTCCGTGGAACATGTATTGAGAACATGCTTTTTTGTAAATAATAAACTTGATATGTGATTTCAAATTATTTGTCTTTAGTAGCTGAGGTAAAGTTTTGATGCATGAGCTTTAAAAGAGCTGTGCAACCATTTTCTCACTTTTGCTAAATATTGTGCCGA